GGAGCATTGGCAGAAAACTACAGAAGGCAGATTGTCCTTCTAAACTAAAGGTTGCAGTCACATAGCGGAGTCAGCAGAATCAGCAGACAAGCCATTTGTAAACTGATGGAACTCAAACTGGTAAATGTCATGAACATTGCCAAGACATAAATTAGGGTTGTTGGCCATAGATCAGCCCAAGATTCCATGTACCAAGGAAATCAAATAGCAGAATGTTATAAGGGAAAATCAGCAATGATTTATACCATCGAGCCAATCTGATTCTCCCAGAAATACTTCTTGCTTAATGTCAATTAATGCTGACGCTCTTCTGTTCCGCTGGAGTCACATTACAAAAAGTTCAGAATCTTTCCTCTTTCCCCCCCACATCCCATGCCCTGCAATGGATTCTGAATCTCTGTTTGACTCTCTGTGTGCCTGTGTCTTCACTGTTGTCGATTTAGAGGTATCACAGATTATTTCTCTTTTGAGCCAGGCCCTTTCCAGACAGAGCTGGAATCTCTTTTCTTATTCACAGTTGTTCCTGAGATCGTTATACATCCCAAACCTCTTCACCTTCACCTGATTTTTTCCCACTCAGATTTATTATATATCCTGATCCAGATCACCTTTGTTGTTACTGATGTACAAATGGCAGTGTTCCTGTGGTTTTAACTGGGATAATTCCTTCTATATATAAGGGGCCCTTGGTGCTCCCTGAGCTTGCTTGTTTTCTTGCAGATGTTTCATTACCCAAACTAGGTAACATCATCAGTGCTAGTAAGGAGTGCAGTTTGCTGTAAGTTTAGATTCTAATTCTATAGAACCGTGATGGCGAACCTATGGCATGCCTGCCAGAGGTGGCACGCAGGGCCCTTTCTCTGGGCATGCACTGTCACGGGCTGCTCTTCAGGGTTCCCTCGCACGCATTTGCGATGGCCAGATGGTCGTCACACAGGCACACGACGGAACCCAGAAGAGAGCAGCTGTCTGGCGTGCATCCATGCAACAAACACTGGAAAGCAGCTAGATGCCTTACGCATGCGCACTGGCCATCTGCTCTTTTGCGGGTTCTGGTGCTCCAGCGTGCACACTCCAGTTTTGGCACTGAGTGCCGAAAAGGTTAGCCATCAGTGCTATAGGATATAATTCTATAGAATGTAAGCTGACAGCAAACTGCACTCCTTACTAGCACTGATGATATTACCTTGCATGGTTAATGAAACGTCTGCAAGAAAACAAGCAAGCTCAGAGAGCACCAAAGACCCCTCATGTCAACCCTGAGCTACAAATATTCTCCTTTATATAGAATACTTTCTTTATACATACAGATATCTGCTATTCAGAAGCCAAGTTCATGCATACAGATAGTCCTCACCTTATAACCACAATTGGGACCAAAACTTCTGTTGCTAAGCAAGGTGGTTGTTACATGAGTTGCACCCAATCTTATGACTTTCCATTACTGTTAAGTGAATCATTGCAGTTGTTAAGTGAATCCAGTTGCCCCCATTGACTTTGCTTGTCGGAAGCCATCTGGGAAGGTTACAAATGGCGGTTCTAGAACCTTGGGACGCTGCAACTATTGTAAATACATGCTAGTTGCCCATTTTGATCACATGACCTTGGGGGTGCTGTGTGTAAGTGCAAGGATTGGTTGAAGATCACTTTTTCAGTGCCATTGGAACATTGTACAGTGGCTAAACAAACGGCTATAAGTCGAGGATTACCTGTACAGCAGTCAACCATGCGTTTGTGTTATCTCTTGTAGCTCTTGAAGTGTTAGTTTTATTACTAGCTGAAATTCTGCAATGAACCATGATTATCTCTGCAGTAGGAAACACAGCTTTTTTAAAGCAGACAATTATGCCATAAAATGTCAAGTACTCATCCTGTGCTTAAATGTTAGAAAGGTGCATTTTTATTACCAGCATAATATACCTCCGGCAGTTGTGATACCAGCAAATTTCTGTGTGCCACATAACAAAACCACACAGAAAAGGGTGGAGTAGAGAAACTCCTAGGGTTGGTAGTGTCTCTTTACAACAGTTTGAGTTGTTTCAGATTTATCAAGGAAAAGTTGAGTTAGAGTTGACAATAGCCATCCTGTAGGAAAAATGGCCAATTGGGAGAGATTGAAAAATGTTGGTCTTGTTGAAAGGCAAATTCAGTTTGTGAAACAAGTAATACAGAAAAGATTAAGTGGCAAAGTCTGGACCTACATCAGGGGGACAACCACATATAGTTTTGTGGTAGAGTCAGAGATGTTGTCTTTGCCACAGCATGGATGAAGATATATAGACAGGATGGGGTAGGTGAACAAAGATATTCACCTAAGAGCTTGAAGCAAGATGATTACTTAAAAAATGAGTGGCATGTCCAAGCCACTCAAAAATCTGGGCCACGTTGTGAAACCCTGTTTGGGAGTAGACTATGAGATTGTCACCTGCCATTGCTCACTCCCATCTCACGGCTCTCCCCTCCTCACCTTTCTCCCCTCCCATTTCTCCCCACACCCAGAGCCCCATCTTCAGCTTCTCTCTCCCATCACCTCCCCCTGCCCCTGTGAAGACTCAGACGCTTCCTGCCAAGGGCAGCCCAGCGAGGGAGGGGGCCCTCCAGAGTCGATGTTCCACCCCCTTCCCTCTGCCTCCCAACTCTCCACCCCCTCACCCACCCTCCTCTCCACATTGCTTTTTCCCCTCTACTAAACCCCCACCCAAATCTGTGCTGCAGGTCACTCCCCACCCCTCCCCTCGGGGAATCCCCCTCCCCACTCCGCTCAGTACTCCTGTGCACACGCCTAAAGAGAGCCCCAGCAGCACTCCCTGCGGGACACCCCCGAGCAGTCCTGGTGTGGCCGGCGTGGCATGGAAAACCCGCTTGAACTCTATCAAGAACAGCTTCCTTGGTTCCCCACGCTTCCATCGTCGGAAACTGCAAGGTGAGTGTGTTATACTTTCCCTGAGATGGTGGGCATGCGATGGATTTTTCATTGTAGGACCACAACTTCTCCACTTGCAAAAGACACGCCCAAATGGTGCATTCTATCTGGGAAGGTGCTGGAGGATAAGGAGGAAGAGACACATCAGAATTGAACATGACTGAAGACCAGTGTTTCTCAGTCTTGGGCATTTTAAGATGTGTGGATTTCATGCTGGCTGGGGAACTCTGGGAGCTGACATCCACATATCTTAAAATGCCCAAGGTTTAGAAACACTGCTGTAGATAGTCAAGAAGAAAGCCACAAGTGTGGTGAAGAACACAGAAATAGAATTTGAATGAGGAATGCATAAAATGTTCATATATAGAATATGTTAAATGAAGGAACACAATCTTTAAAGTTAGGAAGTGGTACCTTGATACTGTCTTTTGCCAAAATAGATAATAATTTATTTTGCTCAGGTACTATCCTGCTCAAGTACTATTTAAGGAAGAAATGAAAAACTTTGGTGGCCTCCAGATGTTGCTGAACTAAGTTCTCAGATGTCCTGGCTATCGGGATGGGTTTCAGAGAATTGTAATATAACAATATCTAATTTTGTATTATTCTGGGAGCCTTCCCAGGGCTACCTATAAATGATTTTAAAAGAACCTCAGACCTTTTTATGTCTGGAATGTCTGGATGCCTGGAAACTAATGAAGGAGAGAACCATTAATCAATGGAACGACTTGCCTCCAGAAGTTTTGAATGCTCCAACACTGGAGATTTTTAAGAAGAGGTTGGACTATCATTTGTCTGAAATGGTATAGACTTTCAGGCGTGAGCAGTGGGTTGGACTAGAAGACCTCCAAGGTCCCTTCCAAGTCTGTTATTCAGTTGATCATTCCTCAAAAAAGAATGGAAAATTAAAAGCAATTTCCTGTTTTTATACTTGGCATCTGGTAGCAAATGAATTGCTTTGAAAAGTTGCAATTGGTAGGAAATGAGAACAGCTTCTTTCCATTTAACATCTACTCCTTTTCTCCTTGCAGTTCCCACACCAGAAGAAATGTCTAGTCTTACACCAGAATCATCCCCAGAGTGAGTATTAGAAGAGACCAAGAGAAGGAAGGAGAATTCAGCCTCCCCTCACTTCCATTCATGGTTCTTCCAAATGCTTTTCCAAATGTTTATAGTATCCCAGAATTAATGTGCTTAATGTGCACTAATATGGGAAGTTTAGATTTCTCCCTCTTTCTCATGAACGTACAGTACCAACAATACATCAGAAGAATGCGTGTCCTTAGAACTCTACAATGTATGGTAGGAGAAATACCTTGAACCACCTTCAATGGAGTCAAGCAAAGCGTCCTTCCAAGATTTATTTCCAAACTGCCTTGCTTTCCTTGTTCTGCTTTCCTTCCTTTGCAGGCTTGCCAAGAAATCCTGGTTTGGAAATTTTATCAACTTAGACAAAGAAGAACAAATTTTTGTGGTCATCAAAGACAAACCCCTGAGTTCCATCAAGGCTGATATTGTACACGCCTTCCTCTCAGTAAGGACTCAACTGGGAGAAAAGGAGAGGGCTGGGATTGATTCTGAAAAATTAAATGGAGCTGTTGGTAGGATGAGGTCCTGTTGACACCGAGGGCAGAAGGGTGAAGGCTAGAGTGAATGGGACACTAAAAGGAAGATGTTTTCCATTTGATGTCTATAGCTTGACATCGCATGTCTTCATTTAATCTACAGATCCCCAGCCTGAGTCACAGCGTTATATCCCAAACAAGCTTTCGGGCTGAATATAAATCATCGGGTGGGCCCTCCGTCTTCCAAAAACCTGTTAAGTTCCAAGTTGACATCAGCTACTCCGAGGGGGGAGAGGCACACAAGGATAGTGGGATCTACTCAGTCACCTTCACCCTCATCTCAGGTGGGTAGCTGGAAATCCTCCCTCCCTCTTTGAGTCATCTTTAGGAGTCATAATGATTTTTGGAAAATTTACAAACATTCAAATTTTGCAGTTCTGATTAAAAGCATACAAAGCCAAAAGAAGCAGGTTCCAGGTGTGTGTGTGTGTGTGTGTGTGTGTGTGTGTGATGTACATTGTGCCTTTTGGCTTTAAGTTCACAGTTTTCTAACCATTCCAGAAGAGACTAAGTAATGTGAAGGGAGCAGTAACTCCAGAGGCAATATTGCATCTTCTCTAACATCCGGAGGTTTTTAAGAAGAGCCATTTGTCCAGATTTTAATTATCATGATACAAAAATTATGTTGAAATTCTAGAAAGAGTACAAGGAAGTGCAACAAAGATGATTAAGGGACTGGAGGCCAACATCTACGTCAAATGTTTGGAGGAACTGAGTATGTCTAGTTTAACAAAGATAAGGACGAAGATTGACTTGATAGCAGTCTTTCAATATTTGAGGGTTGACTTATTCGCCAAAGCCCTTGAAGGTAGGACAAGAAGTAGAGTATGGAAACTTATCAAAGAAAGATCCAAGCTAGAACTAAAGAGAAATTGGGGGAAATGGCTTTCCTCCAGAACTTGTGGGTTCTCCATCAATGGAAGTTTCTAAGGAGAGATTGGACAGCCATTTATCTGGAATGGTGTAGGGCACAGGTGTCAAACTCGATTTCATTGAGGGCTACATCAGGATTGTGTTTGACCTCAGGGGGCCAGCGTGGGTGTGGCTGGGGTGGGTATAGCCAGCTCAATGTCACTCATGTCGGGGACGCTTGTAGTGGAGCGCCAAGCGCTCTGCCAGCAAAAATGGGTTCTCAAGCTCGTTTTTTGCTTGCAATGGCCTCCTGCAACCCGCTGTCAATGAAAACAGAGCTCGGGTAGCCCTCTCGAACTCCGTTTTCGCTGGCAGAGGCACCACAGGCCAGTCCTTTGCTGTTTCCAGGGCAGCCCTGTGGGGTAGATTTAAGCACCCTGCAGGCCAAATCCGGCTCCTGGGCCTTAAGTTTGACACCCCTGGTGTAGGGTATCCTGCTTAAGTAAGTGGTTGGACTAGAAAACCTCTAAGACCCCTTCCAACTCTGTTATTCTGTTCTGTTATGTTCTGAAAAGACTCATTTTTCCTACCTGTCCTGAAAGTAGTGCAACCCATAATCCCGAAGGGACTATACATACTGCACACTTACATGCAGCAGAGATAACTGTCTCTTCTGACCATTGGACTTGAGTGGCCTCCTACTTTTAGAGCCTGTTTTCTGGAATCTCTGGAATCTGTTCCATTTCTGTAACTACTTCTGCCTCTCTAGGTCCCAGCCGTCGGTTTAAGCGGGTTGTGGAAACGATTCAGGCACAACTACTCAGCACACATGACCAGCCTTCTGTGCAAGCCCTTGCCGGTAGGTTTTCCTGTATGTCATTGTTTTGTATTCATACAAACAACTGACTGTTCCTGCTTGTTTTTGACAAGAGTTAGGTGAATTTCTAAGGCTGCGTGCAGAGGATTTAAAAGGACAATTTGCAAAGCGTGTTGGAGCAAATGGAGTACTCCTCTCTGAGATGTTGAAGCAACTGCATCATCTGGAAAGCTCACTGCAGCTGCTTTAATAGCTTTCCTTGGCTAGCTTTGTGTTTACTTATATGTATGTGCATGTGCGTCCATACATTATTGCTTCACTTCAGTTCAATGGCATTGTGTTGGGCATGTTGACTTGTCTGAGCATTTCCATGCCTTTGGGACAACCTGGGAAAATTATTGAAGTTTAAAGATGCAACTTTCTCAAGATGTTTACAAAATGCCTTTTGAATTCTTTGCCTTAAAATATATTATCCAGGATCACTTACCGTCTTGAAGAACAGCTGTCTATGTAGTTACTAAGAGCACCAAATTGATGGTATCATCCATCCACCCACCCACCCACCCACCCACCCACCCATCCATCCATCCATCCATCCATCCATCTTTAAAAGGAACATACTGTGAGAATTTACCAGTGGATGTTATATATATTTCATAATATATACCATAGCATAATGTATTTATGATAGCTAAGTGAAACCTCCAGAACCAAAGGACTTTGGGATTCCCGTGGTGGCGAAGCAAAATAGGGAAGACTGGTTGTCTTGAGAATCTGCCTGTGGAAAGAACAAGAGATTTTCAGTTGATTTTTTTGGCTACAGGGTTGCTGAATTGATCTTTTTCTGATCCAGCATCTTCTGCCTCTACTCTCAGGTCCTGAAATGATTCATCCTCAACACCACCACCCCCCCCCCTCTCTCTCTCTCTCTCTCACACACACACACACACACACACACACACACACACGACAGCCTTGTGTGGGGAGGGGACCAGGCCCTTTTGAAAAAGGACAGAGGCCTTGAGAAAGGAGTTGGATATGAACTCTGCAAGTGTGTGTTTCCTTTAATAAATGGACCTAGGTATCACTTTGAAATCAGATGTCTTGGGATGTCAGTAGAGAACACAAAGAAGATGGGGCCTATTTCTGGACATTTGGTGTGGGGAGGGGATGCTTGGTGGTGAAGTTAACCTAATCTTTGATCTTCTTCCAACATTTAGACGAAAAGAATGGGCAGCAGCTCCGTTTCCCAGGCACCCCAACCCGCAGCTGCCAGCCATCTCGCCGCTCTGAATCAGACATCCCAACCGAACAACATCGACATGGCTCCAAGGACAAGAAGCTTGTCTCCTCTAACGGGACTCAGGTCCAGCAACCACAAACTCCGTCCCCACAGCAGCCATGACATATGGAGCAGGAGAGCAGCACGTGGGTGGCTGGGGGGGAAAAAGCAGCTGAAAGAAGCCACCTCCAGCCCCCTGGAAATAGCTAAAGCCACCCCTAATGGACAGGAGGAGCCAACCAGCCCCATGGATGGGTCAAGGCCCACCAGGGACGCAAGGGACAGGGTGGGAAGATGGAGATTGGTCCAGATTTAATGACCCCAACTCACCCTGGGGCAAAGAGTGGCCATGTTGGGAGAGGCCCATACTGTGAACTTGTAAATAGCTAACGAAGAACAGAAAACAGAACAAATCCACAAAAGAACAAGAGGTGGGCGGGAAAACACAACATGGAACTGAAAACAAAGACAATGGACTGAAGGGTGCGGGAAGGAAAACACACATGAAGAGAGTAACCGGGCAGGAGCCGGTGGGGGTGAGCGACTTAATCTGATTCCTTTAGTGGGATGGT